TACACTTGGAAATTTGATATATCATTTATACCTTTACCATTATAATCATGATAATAGAGGTAATTAATAGTGAAAAGTAAAAAAAACATTAAATAATTGATACAGTGAATTGTTCGCTTGATTAATACGTGTATGATAAATGAGGGTATGGATGGAAAATAAAAAAAATAGAGAAAAGTGGGACAAAAAACAAAGAAAAGAGAACAATTGGGTGTTAAAATATAAAGAATCGAGAATATTTGGCAAAAAATGTAGAGTAAAGAAAAATGACCTAAAAAATTAGAGAATACAGAAATGACGGACCACCATCCATACCCCCATGAATGATAATGGCTATCACACAGCCTTTGTTGGTCGATTACCTTCTTTGTTGAAGGCTTTAAAGTGACCTTTTAATATTTTATTATTTTAAGGTCTTTTGTAACGCCAGCAGGTATACTTCTCTGGATTAATTAATGTATTAAAGTTCCGTAGAAAACCTTTTTGCACCGATAGGTCTTTGAAAGGATTTTTTTATAATAGGATATATAGTTCATCGTACTAATAAAATCCTTGAACTTTGGTAATTCTAGTAGGTTAATGAATTCATTAAATGCATTTGAGTTAGATACAGCCTTGCAAACATTTTTGAGAGGTATTTGGTATTCCCTTTTAGGTTTACTACTCTGTTAATTCATTAACGTATTATAGATATAAAACAACTATACAGACCGAACACTAATCCGATTAAAATTATGATTCGAGTATGACGAAACCAGAGCTCTATATTTTAATTAGATTGACCGAACATTAATATGTTAACGTTGAAACATTACAATGAGAATGTCTTGAAGAACGAAGGAAAACAAACAGACTGTGTATGCATAAACCCATAGATATAGACCGACAGCAACAATTAATCCCAAACGACAGCCGAACCATGATAGGTATAGGCCGTTTCTACCAAGACAGAATAAACACAGATGCCCATGGACAATCATTCTTCCCAAAGACCATCATGGATTTGAATCAATTCGGTTGGTTCAACAATCTGATAAAAATTCAGATCTATTGTAGCTCGCCGCTTACTTGTATGACCATAAAGAAATTTTAGATCTATATTTTAATTAGATTTGCTGGTTCAACTGAGAGGTTCAGAGCTGCCATGAAGGCATGCTCTGAAAGGAAGTAGACAACACAGCCTGCATATAGTTTTAATTGTAAATTGGAGACGGTTTTAATTGTAAATAACTCTCACTATATATATCTAGAGAGAAGACTAGCTGGCACTGACGCAGTTTTTACAGGACCATACTTGAAAGAAGAAAAGATATAGATAAAAATAACGTTTGCATGCAATGCGTTTGGTAATGCTGGTATAGGTTTGCTGTTGAGAATTCATTAACTGTTTCAGAGAGTTGGAGACAGGAGACATACACTTACATTTTTTTATTCGTGTTGATCAATCTCAGACACTATATAGTAATTTTACGTGTTAACATCGGTTCTGTGAACTATTGTTTGTTTCCATTTTTCTCTGTTGGCATGTATGCATTTTGTCATCTTCCCCTGCTTCGGAGACCCGCGTCCGCCTATGAAAATTTCTTACCGAGGTAGAAGGCAGAAAAAAAATTTCCCCTGCTTCGGAGACCCGCGTCGGCCTATGAAGTCCTTTTATACTTATTTTGGAATTCTTGATATTTTTCCTTGCGTGTCATTTTTTTCCTGAATTTTGGATTGTCAAATGAGAAAAGTAGAGCGTAAATATAGTTTATACATTTCTTATATCTGTCCATCCGGGTTTTGGAAGGGGGGGCATCCTCTATCAACCACTGTAAAAAAAATGTCTTTCAAAGTACAATTCCATCACAATATCTATATATGTGCATATCAATTACACACATTGTATACTGGTAAACTAAATCCTTACGCTAAAAGTCCCAATTTCAATCATAATCTTTAATATGTGCATGTTGAACCTGTTGTTCCGTGGTTGTCGTTTGTTGATGTTGTTCTCAAGTGTTTCTCGTTTCTCGTTTTTTTTTTATATAGATTAGACCGTTGGTTTTCCTGTTTGAATAGTTTTATACTAGTCATTTTGGGCCCTTTATAGCTTGCTGTTCGGTGTGAGCCATTGCTCCGTGTTGAAGGCCGTACTTTGACCTATAATTGTTTACTTTTTACACATTGTGACTTGGATGGAGAGTTGTCTCATTGGCACTCATACCACATCTTATTTCTATGTGTATATTTTATCAATAATGTCCACCAAATTGTGCACGTTTTCATAGCTTGAAACATATAGGTATATATATATATACACAAGTCTAAATTGAAAACAACGTTCAAACCTATGATTGGGTTGGATAAAAAACGCAATTTTTATACGTGTGCATGCAAAATAAATACCTTGTTAGAGGGGTCTAAATACAGCACAAACAACATTTTCCAAAAGACCAAAAAAGTGAAAAAGTATATTTAAACAAAACGCATTTGACTAACAGGTCGAACAACAAATGTTCTTAAACCCTGCTGACTGCCATTGGCGATTGCCAAATAAACGGATCACCGATGTAATAAATGGATCTTAATTTAAAATTTAATACTAAACAGAAAACAATAAACTTGCAGAAAGTTGGTATACCGCAAACAAAAGGGGCAAAGGTTTTTGTACACCATATCCGGATTTCGACAAATAATGTCTCTTCAGTGATGTTAGGAATCGAAACGGTATTTGGAAAGCCCAACAATTTACCTCAATTTAGGATAGACTCTTGAATTTTAAGGAGTCAAAATAGGATGAACGGATCATATAAACCCTAAGGCAAATATAATACAAGCCCAAACGAAAAAATATAAACAAGTCTAAATTGAAAACAACGTTCAAACCTATGATTGCGTTGGATAAAAACCGCAATTTTTATACGTGTGCATGCAAAATAAATTTCTTGTTAGAGGGGTCTAAATACAGCACAAACAACATTTTCCAAAAGACCAAAAAAGTGAAAAAGTATATTTTAACAAAACGCATTTGACTAACAGGTCGAACAACAAATGTTCTTAAACCCTGCTGACTGCCATTGGCGATTGCCAAATAAACGGATCACCGATGTAATAAATGGATCTTAATTTAAAATTTAATACTAAATAGAACACAATAAACTTGCGGAAAGGTGGTATACCGCAAACAAAAGGAGCAAAGGTTTTTGTACACCATATCCGAACTATATATATATATATATATATATATAGTGAGAAAGTAGTGGTCATCTGTGAGATATATGTAAAACTGCGTCATAAGAACAAAATACGTAAATATACATATTCTTACACATTTTTATACATAAAGTCCCCCCCCCCCCCCCCAACTGCGTGAAGACGACTGCCCCAATCGATGAAAAGCTCAAATTTGACCCTTTGCGTGGATGTGTTAACATGTCGAAAGCCTGTACATGTATAGCTTTTTAAATTTTCGTCTGTTATCCGAAATTGCCGAATAGCTACCAGATTTAACACAAAGCAGGCTGCTTTCCAGTTTAAAATCGAACCACAGGGGTTTGTTACAATTTGCCGGGTTTACTGATCACTGATTTTTTCGGGGTTCGTATGGATAGTAAACCCGGCAAATTGTAACCAACCCCTGTGATCGAACTGTTACAGTGTTGGGATATGGTGTTATTCAATCCCCTTACAAGCCACTATACCCTGACCTACTGGTTCCCAGACCCTCGTCTATTTTTCACGTCCCCTCTGACGCAAAATTCTGAACCCGCCCCTGTATATATGATTTTAAAAGCCAATCAACCTTTCCATGCAGTAGGTTTCACTCTCAATAGGGGGTTTTGGTGGCCGAGTTGTCGAAGTAGTTCACTTACAGTGATTACTAGCCTGTCAGCTCCAAGATTGTGAATTTCGATTGATTGACTGCTGTTTGCTTAACTACCAGTGGCAAAAAATCATGCATGTTCAGGACGAGTACAAATAAAAAAAAATACAATAGGTAGATCCTGCAATAAGGGGTCGACCGGGATAATTGACGGGAAATTTTGAATGCCACAGGCAAATGATGGCATATTTGAAAGGTCACCTACGGATACTTCATATAGTTGTTGCAAGTGTTCTTAACGTGCATAGAGCGTGGTAATCTCTCTTCACGAGGCATCGTATTTAATGTCCATTCTGACCGGACGTGACTGCAACTTTATACATCCTGCACATCCAAACGGACGCTCCACTTTGGCAAGCATTTTACTGCCGTTCGAAAGTGGACCAAGCGATGACCATATTTATATACTGCAGTCATCCCTTGCAGTGGCTGTTGTGACTTCGAAACCCTCTCATTCGATTCCGATCCAACTAGAAAGGATTGCCAGCTTTCCCCGCCAACAAGTCCATTGATCTCTCCGAGTACTTCGGCTTTAAAAAAATCAACATTTCTGGTTTGTCATCGATAAATTAATAAAAACCAATCAACACACATCATTTAAAATAAAACCATCTTAATCTTCGTAAATACTATTGTGATATGAGGTCTAATCATAATAAGAGATCAACCACTGCCTTACTTTGATGTTAACAATGAACGACTTTGGCATATAACTATGTCAGTGGGTAACTTTGACACGTGAACGAATTATTGCCAGTAGCATCAAAAGGCACAAGTGCACAAAGGGTTGTCACAGTGAACGAATTATTGGCAGTATCATCATGGCAAAAAGTGCATCAAGGTGTGTCACAGTAATCGAATTAACCGGAAAAATTTCTTGAAACACTTCAAATGAAAATTTTCAATTACACATTATACACATACTGAGACTTTACCACACAGTCTCACATATATATATATATATATATATATATATATATATTATACTAGCATATTGGTATATTTCTTCGAAGGAACGTGCAATTTTTTTCAGGGGACAATATAAAGTAACGTAAATTCCCAATCATATTCTATATCATATATTTACTCTGGTGTTCGATATGACGATAAAAACAAACTTTGGTTAACAAAAAAACAAAACAAATAAATTATTCTAGCAAAATATACAGACCATTATAGGAAGGTTAGAAAAATGTAACTCTCCAATAATAAATAAAATCTGCAGCCATATAAAAATCACTTCTATGAATGAAAAATCTGAAAGACGTGGATGAAAAGATGTCCTAAATATTGTAACCTTTATCAATCACTAAAATGCAGTCCTTCATTTAAAGTAGTGGCAATATCGTTTATTATAAAATCGTCATCGAAGTTGATACATCGAGATAAAATAAGTGTTGCCTTGACGGTAATGTCTCCAAACAGGACTTGAGAATGTCTCACAAAGCTATCCTTTATGGCTCTTTTTGATTCTTCGGCTTCCTCTTCACAGATTGGTTTCGAAATAAATGTATGCATCTTTTTTCCGCCCTCGACATATTTCCATCTTATATTTCCCACCTGTTCGTTCGCTAACACCCCCGCTCCTAAAGGAATTCCGTTCACAATCCTGGGAAGTTTTTTGAAACATGAGTTCGGTATATCAGCATCGCTATACACTGGAAAAAATGCTATTTGCAACAAAAAACAACTTCTTTCGTCTTCACGCTTTCTTTGAGAATGTACTAATTTAGCTGCGTCTCGTGGACTAATTGTAAAGTGCGAGTTTGAATTGTGAAAATGTGGAACAAGACATTGCTGTTCAATATTAATATTATTTTGTATAATATTCCGATGATTGCATATATCTCCCATGATTTACTGAAAAGACACTGTGCGGAAATTTAAGTGTTATGTGTCACAAAATCATTTACTGAAAAGTTTCAGTCAACTTTCAATATCCTTGAAAAGGAAGGTTATTATATCGTCCTTGCTTCGTGTTTACACCCGTGTGCATGTAAACAAATACACATATCTATTTATATAGAACGGTGGTAACAAACTACACAATGCGTTCCATATGCTGAATGATAGTCGTACTTATAATTTGGCAGGCGTTTATCTATACAATGTATATAACAAACTTCTTTGACGTAATAATAGGTCAATAAGTTATTAATTAACATGCAACCGGTAAATTACATTGAACGTGTCCAAGTATGTTGTGTTGAATTACACGGCATAAATAATTCCTTTTGATCCTATATAGTCAGATATATGATTCCTACGTAAAGAAATCAATTGTAAATTTATTCCGAATTATTTAAATATTGGACTATACATTTGTTGATATGAAATTGCTTAATCATATAAGTAATAACTATAACAGTATAATAGGTAACAGGTATGGGGGATTGCATTTGGCTTACTTTGAATCTTTAGAATTTAAATATTAAATACCGGCGTTATCAGGTCAGTTGAACAAGGTTGAAGAAAACTTTGTAATCGGACAATTATTTACATTGAACAAGTATGAATTTGTCATTTTCGAGACATAGAAAATCTTGCACGTAAACTTGTATCGATTTCACGAGAAGATTGATTGATTGGTTATTATTTGTCATCAGATTACTTGGTGCACTTTTTTCCAAATGTATGACACTCATGACATGCGATTCGAGCCAGAAAATGGGAGAACAGAAAATTTGAAAGAAAAAACTTGCAAACTGCGGGAAAAAAATTTCAGCCTTAAAATTGTTTAGAATTGTACTACCGAACAAGACAATTTTTGCTAAGATGTTATGTAGGCTCTATTCATAAGACACAATCTAATAAAAATTCACAGGGGCGGATCCAGCCATTTGTAAAAGGGGGGTTCCTAACCCAGGATAAAGGGGTTCCAACTATATACCCATTCAAATACATTGATCATCAAAAAAATGGGACCCCCCCCCCTCCCCCGGGATCCGCCACTGATTCATATCTATATTAACTCGCGTGCTCGTGCATCTCATATGAGGATCTATATTTTAATTGGATTGCATAAGACAGATTAGAATTTTTACTCCCGAATTCATCACATATTTTCTACCTAGTTACACCAGAATAATATGGTGAAATTTCGCCACAATGTCTTATTTTTAAAACTTTTTATTATATAACAATGGCAATCAAACCTCTTATCCATGATTTGTTTTTTTTTTATTTTCGCCTTGCGAATACAGCATTAATCTATAAACATTTTACAAATTTAAATGATACAGAAATTCTCTTCAAGACCAATTCGAATGTTTTAATACTTTTTCAATTGAAAAATATTTGAAATGTTTCGTATTCTCATTTGTCAAATTGCACCGCAGACAACATACAACAGTGTGACCCGAATCTCCAATAATCATATAGACTGATTAACTAATTGTGAAACAAATGACCCAGATGTACTGAGTCTCATGAATTTGATATGTTTTTAAAAACATGACAAGTATACAATACATTTAAAATGACTATACACAATGCGTTGTATCATGACTTTAAAATATATACCATCGTGTATTGTTCAGTTGTACTAATATTTCCGTACAGCTTACAGTTTGATTAACATAGGTCATATATATCTACCGAGTAGCTTCGCGACCAAATCTTATATTGGGGCGGTATAGGAGGGTGTCATCCCGAATTCCCGAAAAAATGAAGTATCCTTTTCCGCATCCCGTAAAATTAATCATTAATTCCCAAGTCCCGATAGGTGTAAATCCCGAATTCCCGCAAAAAGGTCCTTCCGCCCCTCATTAAAATTAAGGAATGTATATCCCTCATGCAAAGCTCTGATTCCTTATCCAGTTTTTGGCTACACTTTTTGTCTTTTTCGGTTTGTGAGATTTCATTTTTTTTAATAAGTTTTGGATTTTCAAATATTTTGGCCTCGAGCATCACTGAAGAGACAAGCGCATCTGCTGCAGAAAAATTGGTACCGATGATATTATTACAGAAACAATGCTAAAGCCGAAGCAAGAAAAAAAGTTGAAATATCAAACTGTTTCCAAAACACACATGACCAGAGACCTATAATTATATATATATATATATATGTCTCTGACATGACGGGATAGCAAAAATGTATAAAAACGTTCAGGATTCTAGCTAGCCTCTAGCAAATTTTACGTTCGAGATATTTTACCACTTATGCGGCAAGTGTGAAATCGAACTTCACTTAAAAAAAAAGTTATACATGTAATGCTGCAGAGTTAAAAGGCTCTCACTAAAATCAAAGTTGTAAAGTTGAGCTCACAAGGGTTTAGCTGTTCTGTTAAGACGTATTTTATTAAGTCTCCCAAACGAAGTTTGGTAAGACCTATTGTTTTTGCTGAGGGTTCCAAAATATATTAGACTAACATGTCTAGTGGTGCAATCAGGGTTTTGTTTGTGCAATGGGGTTTATAAAGGGGTACTTTGAGGAGCAAAAAGAAAGGAGGGTTTTACTATAGAACCCTATGGGATTTTATTTTTTAAAATTTTCAAATGACTATAAATTGAAAACCGTTTGTGATAGACACAATCTTTTTAATAATAAATGTTCTGAATGATAAAGCACATTAAATGAAATACAGGGTTAGTCCCAGGGGTCACCCCACCCCTGCCATTTAAGAAAGTTCTAATATTTTGTAAGTGGTCAAGATCCCCACCACTAAACCATATATATTCTGGTTTGTCATGCTAAGATGGTTTGAATGATATACAGGGTGAAGTCCCCAGGGGTCATCCCGACCCCCTGCCATTTGAGAAAGTTCTAATATCTTGTAAATGGTCGAGATCCCCACCCCTAAACCATATATATTCTGGTTTGTCATGATAAAGCACATCAAATGAAATACAGGGTTAGTCCCCATGGGGTTCCCCCACCCCCAATGTTCTAATATCTTGTAAATGGTCGAGATCCCCACCCCTAAATCATATATATTCCTGTTCGTCATTTCTCGAACATTTGAATGACATATAGGGTCAGTACCCAGGGGTTCCCCCAACCCCTAATGATCTAATATCTTGTAAATGGTCGAGATCACCACCCTTAAACCATATATATTCCTGTTCGTCATGTCTCAGCATGACGTAAAGGGTCAGTCCCCAGGGGTTCCCCCACCCCCATTTTTCTAATATCTTGTAAATGTTCAAGATCCCCACCCCTAAACCATATATATTCTGTTCGTCATGTCTTAAACATTTGAATGACGTATAGGGTCAGTCCCCAGGGGTTCCCCCCGATGTTCTAGTATCTTGTAAATGGTCGAGATCCCCACCCCTTAACCATATATATTCCTGTTCTTCATGTCTCCAACATTTCAATGACATATAGGGTCCGTCCCATGGGGTTCCCCAACCCCCAATGTTCTAATATCTTGTAAATGGTCAAGATCCCCACCCCTAAACTATATATATTACTGTTTGTCATGTCTCGAACATTTGAATGACGTATAGGGTCACTCCCCAGGGGTTCCCCCTCCCACTCCTAATGTTCTAATATCTTGGAAATGGTCGAGATTCCCACCCCTAAGCCATATATATTCTGGTTTGTCATGCCAAGATGATTTGAAAGATATACAGGGTTAGTCCCCAAGCATCACTAATGCATATAACTTTACTGGACCAAACCAATTTTCACTGGACTTTGCCCAATGTTAGGCAACCCTGGGAATCATGAATTATGGGAGCTTCGTTTGGGAGACTTCGTAACAGCATCCTGTTACAATCATTTCTTGTTTTTGTTGCTTTGAGTAGTTTGGTATATTTAGGAACTTTCAAACTATTGGTCTCGATGATACCTGATGACAGAAATTCAAGGAACACGTGTACATTTATAAACTGGGTAAAGGAAGTTTCCTATAACAGTAAATGAACTTCTGAAAATCAGCTATAAGTTAATGTGATCCTTGTTATCCTTTTATGTATTACTAGTGCTAAAATGTCTAATTATCAAGATTGAATTTAATGTTGAAAGTCTCCATGAACCCTGATAGACAGACAGACATGTATTTTACGATAATTCCATAAACCAAATATATTTGACGTATTGCTCAATCTAATAAAAATCAGGATTTTTCACTTTGCTCCAACCGATAATTTAGTCGCTTGTGTAAGCTTAATGAAAGACTATTATCATATTGCCTATCGTTAGTTGTATCTCGGAAACAAACCTCACAACAAGACCTTACCAAAGACCAATGCACATACAAATAAGGTCAAGGTTAGATTAACCCTGCAAGAAGGTCCACCTTACAAGCATTAAATACAACAAGTATCTAGTTTATCTACTCCTAATGTATCCGAGAAACCAATCGAATCACGAAGCATAAACATGGTTGCTTAACGTCCAGTGACACATATTTCATGCATGTTCAGAACGAGAACAAATTAACAATAAATACAATAGGTAAGTCCTTACTAGAGAACTCAGGGATAAAGGTCGGGGAAAATTTGTACTACCACTGTAAAATGAGGGTATATTGGATAGGGACAAAAATGTTGCCTATGGACCCCTCAAAGAGTTGCTGTTATGGTTATCAACGTGCAGAGAGCGCGACATTCTCACTACAAAAGACATCTGATTTAACGTTCCTATTCTGACTGGACATGGCTATGACGTTGCCTTGTCACCATCGTATGGTGTTTATATACCTCAACTTGTTTGATTCGCTCGTTTATGTAACAATATATTTGATTTTAACGAAAGAAATCTCTGCATTATTGAAAAATTATTACACCAGGCTTTTCGATATCACAAACTAGTCAAAACATTTACTAAATATTGTCATCGGTACAAGGACATCATTCGTAAATATAATTCAACATGCAGTCATCTTATACGTTCAGGTATTTCACAATCTTTTATGGTTATATTCTATACAAAGCACAAAAATGTCGTCATTCACCTCAAAAGCTAACCAAACCTTTAAACAGACTTATTCAGAAGGGATATCGTTACAATACTGTTGTCAGGTCATTAAAGATGGTATATTTTGGAATTAATATTGATTCACTCATAGGGTCTTTGCACCGGAAATATACACATTTATTCTAAAACCAGTTGAAAATTGGTGGCCTTGGGCTGTTTTCTGTTCTTTGGTCGGGTTGTTGTCTCTTTGACACATTCCCCATTTCTATTCTCAATTAATTTTATGCATTACAAGGTATAAATGTCTAGCAAACATGGTCCAACTAACTTGGGCCTCATTGCATGCAATCTGT